GAGCTCCTCAAGCCGCTCGATTCCAGTGCACTAAAAAGTCACATTAAAAAGGGCCGTAATAAGCGACAACAAATGCTCAATAGTCCTGTAAGTGGTTACATGTGGGCCCTTGTTTCACTTTTGCTTTCCAGACTTCTGCTCTTCTCACTTTTTCCTCTTTCCCGGTTCTTTTCGGAGTTTGGCTGACCAATCATCACAGCCAGCCACTGTACAACCTCAGAGCGTACCTTAGACTGGACATACGATGTCTTGTCTTTAGAGGCTGCAAGATCGATTCGGTGCACTTTCAGGAAGAGTCCGATCGACAGTCGAGCCGGAACTGCATCAAATCGTTCCGAACTGGCACTGGTCTGTCAAGAATGCGCTTGCCATGAGTTACGCAGCGAATGGAACCGCTCATCACGAAACACGCAGCCTATCATTTCTATGGGGTGACATCTTTATTCACGGCTCCAACATGGTCTCGTTCTATTTTCTGTTTTCTTATTCAATTTTCATTCTACATGTTTTCTCTAATCCCCTCTCAGCAAAACTGCCTCTATGAATCTGGAATGGTTCAAGCAGGCATTTTCTGTTGCAGAATCGATGTATTAATGACAACAGTTTCAGAAGAGACTCTGGCCGGCTCAGTTCCCCCGGTATGCTTGGGATATTGGTCACGTTTGGACTTTTTGGGGATTGACTTGAACTACATACGTTTGTCTCTGATACGTTATCGTTATTGGGTTCGTGGATAAAATGGAGTCGCCTCGGGATCGGAGTTACACGACGCTATGGGACTATTCCATTTCTTTGGACTTTTACACCCGGGAATTCACTATCAAAGAGTAGCATTGACTGCATCATATATGAAGAGATGGACTACGCGATGCTTGGCGCTCTATGTAATAAGAGCGGGTTCCTTCGCCGGCGGAGTTTGGAGCATTTAGTTCAGACATCATATTTTGTATCTGGAGTTGTATGGCTCCACAAACTGCCTCATAATACATGTTTAGAGCATATTGGGCCCATGAACACATGATTGTTGCGCATGATTTGTAGCAGTACGAAAAAAAAAACCCCAGATCTTTGATGCGAAGATGGACCAGTTCACCGAAGTACCTAGAAGGAGTGAGGCTGGAGCAACCTTGCTGCGATGCGTGGCCGACCGCCTGCCTGACATGGCGAAGTGAAGCGGCAGAAAATATAGTGCAACGAGTCAACGACCACAAGTGTCAAGAACAAAGCAGTTTTCCCCAATGCCTCCGTGATATCACCAGTCGCATCCAACCCAATCATGCATGCCCAAATGTTACAAAAGGCATGCGCCCGGGCCAAACCCGAGGTTCACAAGACCGGCGTAGCCCTCCAAAACTATTTCCGCCACTTTTCCACCTCGAACCGGCTCACCACCGACGACGACAACAACAACAACAACAACAACAACACCAACACCAACGCAGCAGGCGCCCCCCGACCAACTCCTCCCAACTCATCCGCCACCCAACGCTCCAGAGCCGCCACTCGCGAAATCAGCAACTTCCTCAAAGGCCGCGGACGAAGCCCCTCCGAAAACGCCCCCTCGTCTTCGCCCCTTTCTCCAAACGCATCATTATCTAAACCGAGAGTCATTGATGTCCGTAGCCTGCCCCGGAGTCTAGGCTCGCGCGGCCGCACGGGAACCTTCCGCAGTCGCTTCGGACAGGACGGCCAACAAGGGCAGCAGCAGCAAAGCGGGGGGAACTACACGGGTCAATCTTCCTCCTCCTCCTCCTCCTCCTTTGGCCCTGGGGGCAGCCGCTTCTCCCGCGGCCCTGGAGGTGCCAAAGGTGGCAGAGGCGGTAGGGCCGGCAGAGGCGGCCGCTTCGACAGGAACAACAGCAAAAGGGACGGAGATGGAGAGGCTGGCGATAAAAAGGACTCTACTGAGAATACGACGCGCCGGGAGGTGAATCTGGAGATGGATGAGGAAGAAGTAGTCTTTGATAGACTGATGCGGTTCCATAGTACGACGGAGTATCAGCCTGCGTTTTCACTCCAGTCTCTTGTGGAGTATGCGCCGAGTTTTCCGTCGGGGGAGGCGGGGAGGACGGCTATTGCGCTGGAGAAGCTGCAGGAGGTTGGGGGGGAGATTTCTACGGCTGGGGGGGAGGCTCTGAAGGGGGTGGCGGGGTCTGCTGCTGCTGCTGCTGCTGCTGCTGCTGCTGTGGAAAATGATGCGCAGAAGCAGAAGCAGGATCAGGATCAGGATCAGGACAAGACCACTGTGGAGGCCGCGGCGGCAGAGGGCAGCAGCGCCGGTGGTGGTGCCGAAGCCAAGATTCCCGACCTAGCTGTGATTAAAGGGGTTGATGACGCGGTCCTTGAGAAGATTTACGAGCAGGCTGTCCAGGGAAAGCATGAGAAGATGGAGTTTGGGACGGGCCCGATGGCCACGTCGCGGAATCTGCATTTGCGGACTGGGACGTGGAATAGCGGTGCGATGGAAAAGTTTGAGGGCAAGTTGAAGGCTTTGGTTGGGGGGGCGAATGGTGCGAGGGGGGCGAAGAATTCCGGGAAGAAGGCTGAGGCGCGATGAGCATTGGGCATTGGGGTGGTCATACTGTAATTTTTTCATTCATATAAAACATGACCATGTACCTATCTCTATTTTTCGTTACGTTTTTAGGGGTGCAACAACGGGGGGCAATGGGTTAATGTGTATAGATATATGTGTATAGATTTCAATGTTTACATGTGGAGCTGTGAAAGAAGGAGAAGTTTACATTTTACCTGCATTGATGATGAGAAGGGGCTTGTTGATCTTGGTGCGGTTGGTGATAGCAGGTGCTGGTTTTGATGTATGTTGTAGAGGTGTTGCTGTGTTTTGCTTAAGCTTTTTGCCTTAGTTGCATACACTCAACTTTGTCTCCCTCGTTACCTACTTGATTGATCTATCTGATTTGCCAGCCCTATCCTGCTTTGCTTCGTAATGCTTTGTTTGTAGTATAAGTACCACCGTGTATTAGATGTAAGGGGAAGAAGATGGACGTTATCAGACGTAAAAACTCCCCTTGGGCTAGATAAGGGTGTTCCACGTGCGCGGATGCAATGACCCGGTTGGGATCTTGGTCTCGTATTGCGTGGCACTGACGATGTGTAGGTGCATGACTAGCCATTTCGTAGTGACTTCTTCCCAGCCATCTGTGCAATATGGTAATAAATCACTGCCTACATGAAAGGCCCCGTGTACCCAGCCCGGCTGCTATCATTTTCAGTCTGCCTTGCACAAAAAATCTGGTGTGCACTGGCAGATCATAACCAGCCAACCCCCTCCCTACCTCTCTGCTTGCTGTAAACATGCAGAGCCTCATCACACTCCCGATTGCTTCCACATCACCTCTCCAACTGCTTCAAAGCCTGCACCTCCTCCGCAGCAATCTCCTTCATCTTCTCATCCAGCACCTTCTGCAACTCCTTCTCCGCCTTGTGCGCCACATCCTTCAGCACCGTCCCCTTCTTAGCCCACCCCTTGAGAACCTTGTCATGCCGCGACCTCCCCTGGCGGATCTTCTCCTTCCACCCTTGCGTCACCTCCTTGACACGCCGGATGAGATCGTCCTTGCGCTCCAGCTCCACCTTCATCAGCAGCTCCAGATCATTATCCTCACTTCGCTGAGGCTGCTGATTGTAGTCCTTGCTCGCCTGGACGGCCGACATGATGGGCTTGATGTACTCCCGGTCATTGACGAGGAGGGATATAGTGCGTCCAGAGCGGGGCACCACCTGCGCGAGCTCGCGGAGCGGGAACGTCGTGGTGGTCTTGTGCGCGCCATTAGCCTCTTCGGATGGTTTGACGGTGACGGGCAGGGCGCCTAGGTTGTCGGGGTTGAAGCGACCGCCGTGGAGAACCGTCTGGAGCTGCGCTTTGAAGTGCGCGTCTGTTGCGGCGAAGACGGCAAGGAGGGAACTGAAGTCGAGGGGGTCTTCGGGGTTGGGCGCAGATTTTTCGGCTACAGATCCAGGAGACGAGGAGGATGTGTTGTTGGAGCCTCGGGGTGGGGAGTTTGAGGCTGGTGCGACCTTGCGCTTCTTGAAGGTTGGCGGCGATGTGTGGAAAGCTCGTGCGAGGGATTGTCGCTGCTGCTGCTGTTGCTGCTGCTGCTGCCGAGGGATGGAAATTGAGATTGGTCTGAGTTCACTGGTTAGCTTGGCTGAGTCTCTTTTGGCAAGTTGTTGCTGTTATTGTCGCGAAGGGCCTTTGGGTGTGTTTTGATGTCAAATCAACTTACGCTTCAACTGAAGCTGTGAGCCCGAAGACTCGGCGGACGAGCAGACTGCGGCTAGAGAGCGCCATGACGGAATATCGTTGTCGTGATCACGAGCTGGAAGGTTGAGATTTGACGTGAGGAGATCTTGATGGGGATTTGTGTTGGGTATGAGTTGCACGCGTCACAGGACCGTCAATCAACGCGACGCGACTAAATATGAGTTTTGACGACGAGCTAGCAGGAAGTCAACACAACAGCTCAGATACGCTGCCTAGATTAGATGGCTCAACTTCTTCAACAAACACTCTCCCCCGTTTGTTCCATTGCATTCAAGGTCGTATTGTGGATATCTTCCTCCTCTAGGCTCTCTCCCTCTATGGCTGAAGCCCGGGTGGTGCAAACGCCCGGGTGGCCACTGGCTACACACTGCACACCATTCAATGATACCACAACAGCAGCCTCGTTGGTTCGTCGTTTAGCATGGTGTACCACGTGGCTTTTGTGCGTTTCTTTCCCCAAATATACCCAGGTGGTGTACCGAGCTTGACTGGCATAGGCTGAGGGACACACTTGTGTGAGTGATACTGCTTGTCTGCTTTGTTGCAACCCAACTCAAAGCTTAAATGGTTCAACGACCAAAGCTGATGAAGCAACATCGGAAAAGAAAAGTGATAAGAGTTGACACTACATAGTACAGAGTAGCTAGCACTCAGTTCATCACTGGCAACTCGATATTAAAAATAAGAACCCCAATGAGGGCCAAAAAAGGCTTGCTCGTACTAGGGTTCGAACCTAGGACCATTTGCGCTCAGTATGAGTCGTTTCATGTAAGGCAACTATGCTACCACTGCACCATACGAGCTAACTTGTCTCGAGTGGCACGATATTAGCTATATATTGGTAACACAATCTACACTGTCGCGTCGAGAATACACCGTAGGAGAGAGAGGCATCGAGAGAATGGGATCTCGGCTCTCGAATAGATAAGTACTTTCAAATACTACAAAGAACAATCAGTTATAGCCTGATAACAAGAAAAAGACGTTCAATAAGTCACATTCAACAGACCCCCCTTAAAAAAGAGGCAAAGGTGTCAACACCACGCGCTTACATCACTGCTGCGTGGAACAGCCTGAAAATGCATGCCAAATTCATAACCTCAGCAGTCCAGTCATAATCTCATACCACACCATCATCTCGATAACCCTCCCAAACAATCAAGATGATTCCTCACCCTGAAGAGGCTGGCCCATTCCACCAAACGTAATCATCTTGGTCACCTGATACTCCCCAATCCCATACTTGGAACCCTCCCGCCCAAATCCACTCTCCTTGACACCACCAAACGGAGCCGCCGGGTCGGATATGATACCCGTGTTGACACCAACCATGCCAACTTCCAACGCCTCAGCTACGCGATACACGCGCTGCAAGTCCCTCGAGAAGAAGTACCCCGCAAGACCAACATCGACCTTGTTAGCCAGCGTAACGACCTCAGCCTCAGTCTTGAAGGGAAAGATGCCAGCCACGGGGCCAAAGGTCTCTTCCGTAGCCATGGCCATTTCGGCGGTCATGTCGCGGATGACGGTGGGCTGGAAGAAGTTGGCACCCAGGTCCGGTCGCTTGTGGCCGCCCGAGACGACCTTGGCGCCCTTGGCCTTGGCGTCCTCGATGTGAGCCTCGACTTTGTCGATGGCGCGGCCATGGATGAGTGGCCCGTGGGTGGTGTCCTCGTGGAAGCCGTGGCCGACCTTAAAGGCGTTGACTTTTTCGGTGAATTTGTGGATAAAATCGTCATAGATGCCCTCTTGGACGTATAGCCGGTTCGCGCACACGCAGGTCTGGCCTGTGCCGCGGAATTTGGAGGCCATGGCACCGGCGATGGCGATGTCGAGATCGGCGTCGTCAAAGACGATAAATGGAGCATTGCCGCCGAGCTCCATGGACAGTTTCTTGAGCGTGTCAGACGACTGCTTCATGAGGAGCTTGCCGACTGCGGTGGAGCCGGTAAAGGACACCTTTTTCACGGTTGGGTCGGTGGTGAGCACTCGGCCGATCTCAGGTGTGTTTTCGAGAGTCGTTACGACGTTGACGACGCCCTTGGGGATGCCTGCTCGATGGCCCAGCTCTGCGACGGCAAGGGCTGTGAAGGGTGTTTCGCCGGGGGCTTTGCAGACGACGGTACAGCCCGCGGCCAGCGCAGGCGCAACTTTTCGTGTAATCATGGCGGCGGGGAAATTCCAGCTTTGGATAAATCAGTTTCGTTGCTTTGACAGGGTGCATATAAATGAGCGAGCCCAGACTCACGGAGTTATCAACCCGCACACACCAACGGGTTCCTTGACCGTCCATACGCGGTTTCCAGGCACTGTCGCAGGGATTGTGTCGCCGTATGTACGTGGAGCTTCCTCGCTGAACCACTCGAAAAAGTTGGCGGCATAGGCGGCTTCGCCCTTGGCCTCGGCGACAGGCTTGCCATTCTCCCAGGTGATGAGTTTGGCAATGTCGTCTGCATTTTCCACCATCAGGTCGTACCACTTGCGAAGCAGCTTCGCGCGCTCACGGCCGGTGAGGCGTCGAAAGGCGGGAAACGCATCGGCAGCGGCCTTGATGGCCAGCTTGGTATCCTCGGCGTCACATTCAGCTACCGTGCCAATCAGGGTACCGGTAGACGGATCTAGCAATAGTAAGTCACATGTTGCAGAATCAACTACTTGCGACTATGTTTAGAGCAACTGTACCGTTGACCTTGAAAATCTTGCCCGACCTGGCTGCTTTCCATTCACCATTGATGTAGGCGGCATTCTGCTTTAGCAGCGACGGGTCTTTCAACTAGGTCGACGTCAGAAGAGGTGCCAATAGACAGATGACCACCCATGAAGTTGCCTTATATCGGAGGTCTAGGATGACTGCGGGTAAGCAGTGACAGCTGGTGAAGTCGCACCTGAGGAGGCATCGTGGAGGCGTGTCGAGACAAGATCAACGAGATGGCGGGAGACACGCGCTTGGACGTGGGAGCTGCGAGTCTCTGCAACAAGGCCATTGGGAGGCTCGGCGACGGACAGGCCTCGTATGCGCGACTCCTATAATGAGTTTTGATAGGCAATGGGAAGCTGATAACTCCATGAGCAATCTGGGAGATGAGAAGACAATGATAATGCCTGAAGCTCGGCAGGGGGACCATCAGATGTCGCAGACCGAGGAAGAGGTCACATGCGGGGTTCAATGGGGTCGGGCTCTCCCCTTGATCTAATCACGCAGTCAAACTGACCAAAAATTGGTTTCACTGCAACGCAAGATTCCAATGCTCTGTGACGAATCTGTGACGAATCTGTGACGAATTCGACGCTCGCGTGATTCGTGAAGCTTTCCGGGAATACGATAGGTACCTACTATGTAGATAGGCTACCTGTTACAATAGGCAGCCAGGTACACACATGCCGGTGTGTACCTCCCGGGTACATAGCTACCTAGGTACCTCCTAGGCAGGCAGCCTCCCGAAGCCCCGCTCATCCCGAAAACGTTGGCCCACCCGGAGTGGGAACATGGAAGAAGCTTAGAAGAGGGGAAGCTTCAAGCCGCCGTTGTTACGCGCGCAACGAGATGTTGGTGCACATCCACGCGTTATCACAACGCGCCTTCGGGCCTCCATGGAACACAGTCTGGTAGCAAAACCTTTCAGTCCCATCTCTCAAACTCTCCCTCCATCAATGATCATGTCTCGTCTGCGCCGCCGGCGCCGAACTCGCGCGACGTGACCTCGGAATCGCATAAGTCCAATCAGCCCCCCATTTCCGTTGCAAAGACAGCGGTCGAGCCCGTTTCGCAGCATTCTCTCCAAGATTCCGAAAGACACTAGGTAGTAGGGGAGCTGGTTTAGCGCTGACGCGGCATCGTTCGGGAAAAGGGTTGGCTTGGAGGTAATAATCAACGTACTACTGTGCCCTTGGTTTCGACACCTTGAACACCTTCAGTTCCACCTCGTTGGGGTCAACCTCGGGGACCGCAAAGCAGTGAATGTCGAGAACATAGTACATTATGTATGGCGAGCCCCCGTCGATGCAATAGTTGAGCATGTAGTCGTCGTGACCGTGGGGGAGGTTCTGCGATGCGAAGAAGGCGGTAATCACAGCCGCAAAATCGGAGCTATACTCCTCGAGGCATATCAGGATGACGCGTTGCGGCGTGATGTAATTCATGGCGACCAGAGATAATCGTGTTGCGTAGGGAGTCGGGACTCGTCAGCCACGCGAACGAGGCGACACTCACGTCGAAGGCGCGGGTGTCAGGGATAGATAGATCATTTCCATCGGGACTGGCAGGACTGGCAGGGTTGGGGAAGAAAGTAATGATTAAATGGGAGAATGGAAATGAGACAGATTGATGTCACGTGTCAGCGCGAGGTGAGTTGAGTGGTGTTGTTGTTGTTGTTGATGTGTCAGAGGCTCAATGGAGTGGCAGTTGGAGTGCAGCTGTGCATTATGCGCATGTACACATCGGGAGCGCTCAAGAGAACTTTGGACGATGCGAATGCCCCCGGCGGCCCGCTCTCGACCAAGTCAAGATGAACTGATTGGATGAAGAGAGTGGACAACGTCAGATGGGCGTCAACGCCGTCAAGGTCAAGATATTGTTGGGGTTTGGTCCCGTCGCGGCTGTGCGATACGGGTCTTCGGATGACGGCCCAGGCCGCCAAGATCTCTTTCTACGAAGGAGTCTCGCGAGTGAAAGGAAGCAACGGCAAGAACCCGCTTTGAGATGGGGCCGTTTGAGTTTGGGGTTTGGCGCTTGGCGCGATTACCTAGGTATTTACATACCAGGTGCATAGGTACCTTTGACACGTGCAATGGTCTTGCGTGGCATACGGAGTACAGGGGATAAGTACCCAAGTATGTACATACATACTGAAAACACGGCCTGCTGCGGCAGTGCTGCGGCCTGCTGCCCACGCCCGGCGTTTGTACCTGTATTCACCTCCGCTTGCCGCTAGTGGTCTGTCAGTGCACTGCATTTCAAAGGCGTTGTGCGGGTACGGGTAAATGTTGTAGAACGGAGCTGAGACTTGGGATATAAATTCTAGTCTGATATTACTGCTTCCTCTCGCCCTCATGATGAGCGTGTGATTGCCTTCCCACAGAGTCACAGACAGGCTAGGCTCCTCGGGTCCCTCGGGGCCCTCCTGAGACATCATGTTACTCGGGAATGGGTGCCGACAACCAAACGAGTACCAGTAAAGCGTGGTCAAAAAGAGACCTCCTCATAACGATCCTTTGTCCTTCAAGTCGCGTCATTGTCTACCAGTGTCGTAGCGGTCTGCCCCGACCGCGAGTCTTGCTGCTGTCACAAGGGAAGTTGTCTATCCAGGGTACGGAAAGCCTGCGTCCTCGGCGTGAAGGGTGATTCATGGATCGCCCCGGGCGAAGTCATGGCACGCAGCTCCCAGGTCGATCGCTCTTTGGGATTCGAGAAAGTGGAGAAACCGTCGTCATCGTCTTCCCTCGCATCGGCATGGGGATTCGGCATCATGGCCCAGATGGAAAAGCCGAGGTTGAGCAGATATATGACACTGGTGTCATCATCAGCAATGCGGATTTCTTCTCCCTTTGTGTGTCTCTCTATACTTTGCTTTCTGCTTTGTGCGAATCGCTACCTGGCCCGCCCAGAGAACGTGACACAACAAGAATGAATAACGAACAACGGAGCGACAGCATACTTACAGCATATAGAGGGTGATGAAGAGAGACGCCTGCGCTATTTGGCACGTTCTATACTTGCCATACCGCCTGGCCAGGTCGCATCCCTGACGGAAATACCATGCCGCAGGGGCGGGATATCGGGCATCCGCGTAGTCCGGCCCAATCT